TAGACTTATAAAAAGAAGTCTTGATAGATAATATGTCATACTTAGGTTTTAGTTTTACATAATAGATCTAACCTATATATTCAAAATTTGACCTGGCATTTCCTATTCTCATCCCTAAATACAATTAAAAGATAAAAATGTTAGAAAGGATAAGTTATTATATTAAAAGAAAAATGTTAGACTAATAGAGTTGGAACAAATTTAAATTGGGTGTAGTTGGAACCCCTTGTATAAGCAAACAAAGTCGGATATTCTTTATTTTCTTTTCTGTTTTAGTTACACTTTCTTTCCATTCATTTTTTATATTTTTGAAAATTTTATTATGAAAATTTTCATATTTTTCTTCCCGACCAACTATGGATGTGATATATTAGCTCTTGATATAATATTGTTAATTGACCATATTAACTAAAGATAACAAAATGGGTTATCACCACAAGTCGATTGGTTGACCCTCCAAAAATTGGTAGGCTAACCCACAAATCCATTCCCCCTCATCCGATGGGTCAAGTTGTCTAACTTAAGTTTTTTTTTTTTTTTAATATTAAATTTAATTAAGTCACATTAAATTTATTATATTTGTAATTAGTGATTTATTATAAAACAAATTTATTATACATTTGATTTATTTTATTTTATAGAATTTGATATTTGTTGTATACCAAATCAAGTTATATACATTGTAATTTGTGATTTATTTTATTATTTAAGTACATTAATTTATGTAAATCATTTAAATATTGAGAAAAAAGAATAATGTTACAAAAAAATATACAAAATAAATATGCATTTTTTTTATTTTTTTGTAGATTGGCTTACCAACCTGTTAATCACCCTTAAACAGAGATGAATCAAAGCATCTAACCCAGTTTTATTTGAGAGATCGACTTGACTCATTTTTGGTAAGTTAATGACGAGCTAAACAAATCCATTTTATCATCTCTATTATTTACATAACATATTGACTTTCAATAAAGCAACAATGCACTTTTCTTGATAGGGACCACAAACCAAGGATTTGAATGTGATCGTTTGTGGGTGTATGTTGATTGAGCATGTGTGTGCATTTGTTTGTATTATTGAATTGGGATTTTAAAACAAGCAAATAGATAATAGAGAAATAAAAAAAGAAAAAAATTTATACGCCTTTGTACATTCTTAGATCATCATTCCATTAACATCATATAGGTAGTTTCATTTTAAAAGAAATGAAAAAAAAATCCCTATTGTTACCATGCATCATCTCCTCCTAGATAATAGAAACATGATAAAGTTTAGGCAAAAAAAAAATACAAACGACATGCATTCTAGATTAGCTCATTAATTTCTATTCATTTTATTTTATTAGTTAAGGAAGGATTAGGTAACAACATGCAGAGAAAATTAAGAAAAGTGAATGCTTTAATATACGATAGTATCTACGCTCTAAAGAAATACCTAAATCAATTTTGAAAATATTATGGTTGGGCTCTTACTTTGATATGTCTATTGAAGCAAGCCTTTTTAGAATCTAGTATGCACTTTTTGCAAAAGAAAAAAAAAAGAGCTCACTATGACAAAAATGTTTTATTAATACAATTTTTGGGGCAAATTATGAGTCTACTAAGATGAAAGTTTTGGTACAAAAAGTGCAGACTTAGACATTCATAAGACATGTTTCACACAGACATCAACCACTTCAAAATTTCTTTAGATTCTCGCTTGACACTATCAAAATCTATTTAAGCATTCACCGGTAAACAAATCAATGAGACTGATATTTATCAATTCTCAACTCTCTCTGCATTATGCATTACATTCATTTAGAACATATCCTTCCTTGTAAAAGAATAAATAAAAATAAAAAGGGAAATGAATATATGCGCGTTAATAATGAAAAGTAGGCCACTGGTAATCAAGCCCACATTCTGGAGCGGACACACTTAATGGTTAAACCAGTTACTATCCAAGTGGGTAAATGGGAAGGAATGCTGAAATTAACTTACACGTAACTGACCCTAAACCCAATTTTGGTTGTTAAGGCCATTATTGGATTTTTTTGAAAAACCTTTTCTTTTTTAATGTTTTGAGTAAAATATTGGTAGCGACTCCATGAACTCATTTTTAAAATCATTAATTAAGGATTAGTCTGGTCTCCGGGCATTCCCTAATTGATGAGATTTTTCAAAAAAGGTAGTCTAAACCATTGGTCGTGAGATCAGAAATTTTTGGGTTATGACAGATGGCGACTCCGTTGGGAAAGCTTAAAGAGGGTCAAGTCCAAATAAATGATGAAATTAACAAAATAAGAATAATAGTTCAAATATTTTTTCCCCTTTTACTTTTTTTGTCTTATTTGTTTGACTTTGATATCTATATGTTTATTTAAATTCTACACCTGTTTGAAATAACAACTTTACACAAACCCTTGCACACAACAGTTCCCTCTATACCCAAGGGCATAAGAGTATAAACATAGGGAGTGGTTGACGTACGACCGGCCCAAGTTTGGCCTTGGAGCCTGCGAGCCTTGTTGGAAATCACACTCAAGGTGATAACTAGTTACTCTAACCCGAAATACTGTTATAGACCTTAGAGTTTGCCAGATGAAGGCGACAAAGATACTGGGTCCCTATAATGGGGGCACCTTGGGACTATTAAAGACCAGTGAGATTAGAACCATCTTATACAATGCACTTTTCTTGATAGGGACCACAAACCAAGGATTTGAATGTGATCGTTTGTGGGTGTATGTTGATTGAGCATGTGTGTGCATTTGTTTGTATTATTGAATTGGGATTTTAAAACAAGCAAATAGATAATAGAGAAATAAAAAAAGAAAAAAATTATATATATATATATATATATATATATATATATAATATGTTGCATATAATTTATTAATAATTAACCAAATACATTAATAATTAATATGTCACATAGTTAACATAATATGTCAATAATTAATAAATAATAACATGTGTGGAATTTTAAAAAACTTTAAAAGCACAACGTGAAAATTTAAAAATTAAATGATAAAATTTGCAAAAATATAAAAAAATTGATGACAAATGGTACGATTAAACTTTGTTTTATATAAAATAATAGTTTGACATTTTAATGGCCAGATTGTTTCACATGCTAAACGGAGTTCCGTGAAAGTGTAAAAAAAAAGGTATAATTCATTGAACGTGTCCCGCTATTCGTGTAGAATAAAGTTTCAACAGTTAATTATATTACATAAATCATTCCACTTTCACTAGAATGGTAATAAAACACACTTCTAACTAGCAAAATGTAATAGCTCAAATGAATTAATATTTGTATTTTTTTAATTAAAGGTTAATAATTAATTTAATTTTTTTTACATCGAGTTACAATTAAATATAGTACTTTAATCGTATAAAGGTGAATTAAAAGAAGTTATATCTCTTTATAAAAGAATAAAAAAAAAAACACCTCTAACTAAGAATAGATTGAGATGCTCTGTAGTTGAAAAACATTTGCACATGATTTCTACTCTTAGAAAAAAAAAAAGTAGTTTTAATAAAATAATAAATTACAAATTTAATTTGCAGCTGCAGTCCGTGTCCTCAGAGGACAAAATTGCGTGCTAATGAGAGTGCACTGAAATTTATATTGCCAAAAATTATCGAAATAGTATTTCACACAATTTTTTTTTTTTTTTTTAGTTGAATGATCTACACAAAATAAATATTGGGGACAGGGGCATCATCCATTAGTTTAAATCTATACAAAATGGAATAGACGGTTATTTTGAAAAATATCATTAACCGTGGCGTGAAATGAAGCTTAATGATTCGGATCCTGTGGCACTAACCATATTCAACAACCAAATCAAGTGTCTATTATTGCCTATTATTATAAAAATCCTCCTCCATTCTTAGACACTGATAATTGGTATGAGCGAATAGCATTTATCTACATGTAACGACACTATGCAAAAACTATGCAAAAACAGGAAGTTGAATATCATCATTCCAATCTCACTCACATAATTGCTGCCCCACCTATCCAATCAAGTGCTCAGGTTCAAATAATTAAAGAAAAATTTAGTTTTCCTAAGTCCTAATGAGTCAACTTAACAACTCTCTTAATTATTTATTAAATGCCCTAAATGTTGGTACATTTTTAATGCTTCTCATTTTAAAATTTAAGCAACTATTATGAAGATACAATATCTTCCCTTCTTAAAGAATGGCTCAGAAAGCTAGAGAAATTTTTTTAACGAAAACTTTACCGCTTATAATAATTTATAATTATATCCAGTTTAAAATGATTCTTTCTTATGAAAGATGAGAAATACTTGTATTTCTATTATTATTATTTTTTTAATTCCACATAAGAAAACCATGCATGAAATGCTCAAATAGTATTTAAATAGTTTGGAAAAGTTAACCTTGAATATATACTTTCATGTCCTACTTGTATGATACAAAGGTCGAAAGATTTGTACTCCAATATAAAATCATAGAACCATTTCGATCACGATTTTTAAAGAAAGTTATGGAAGTTAAGCAGATATTAAAGTATGTTATATATTCTAAGATATCGAAAATATGGAGATACATTAATTTGATTGTGAGAATTCTTTTACAAATAATCACCTATTTCAACCAAAATTGAGAGAGATTTAAAGGATATTAGACTAATAGAAAGATTTGAAGGAGATTGTGGATTCAGAAATACTTATAAATTCAGTACTTGCACCTTTATCATCATATTGTGGTAACAACATTTTGGTGCCGGAAATGCCTGAGCAATATTTATTCACATCTTTGAAGGCCAGCAACATTAAAGAGGATCATTGGGCAAAGTTAAGGGTGCGTTTGTCTGATCTTCTGGCACGGCGCTAGAGGCTAATCACGACAAATCGCATTTCCTCATGCCTCCTCTGTTACAACTTACACGTATGCAAACTGTGCACAGAACCGCAAAAGAAAACACTCCAATTCAATAAGTACACTGCAGAGTTCACACTAAGTTCTAAACTCCGAGGAAGGAAGGACGAGATATATATAATTGTAGTAGAATTATGTATATCATTGAGCTAGCTTATTACTTACTGTATTCAATATTGATTTACATGTGATGTAAGAGTGAGAGTATTAATGAGTTGTAGAGAGCCTCGGTAAGAGTGAGGGGAGATTTTAGGGAATCAAATAAAATCCATGCTAAAAAAAGAAGGGTTCATTCTTAACACCGTAATCATTCAGCCCCACCTAATTCACCTTTGCTTTTTTCCTTCTCTGAAATAGAGAAAATAGAAAAAGGAAAAGAAAAGTGAGCAACCCACTGGTGTGTGTGTGTGTGTCTCTCTCTCTCTCTCTCAATTGCTTTAGAAAGGGATCCCAATGTTGCACCCCACCAACCTCCATTGCTTCAGCTAGAAGCCTCTTATCCACTCACCACCCATGTCCCATTGGAGGTAGAAAAAGAAGATAAATTTGGAATGGAAGTGGGGAAAAGGAGGGTAGGGGTTAGAGGGAGTGTGGTTGCAGGGTCAGTGTGGGAGAGCAGAATGAAGAGTGATGAAGTGAGAGGGGGGATTAAGGTCTTCAATGCTGAAGAAAGCCCTGAAGAAAATGCTGCTGCCAGAGTGAAAAGAAGCCCAATTGGGTGTGGAAAGAGAAAAACTTGGAAATCAGAGAGCCCAATTCAGTGTAAGGATTCCTCTGATGGAATCAAGAAGAGCCCAATTCGAAAAATTGCAGCTTTTGCTGATAATTTTGAGAGAAGCCCGGTTCACACCAGAAAGCTGAGATCTGAGACACACAAGAGTGGTGAACCGGATGAGAGGAATTCACCTCAATTGAGGAAGTCTAAGTCGGATTCAATCAAGAAGAATGCTTCTTGTTCAATTCAATTGAGGAAGACCAAATCTGAGTTGGATCCAGTTCCTGATGAGTCAACAAGGGATGAAAAAATTGGAGTTGAGAATGGGAATGACCATGTGGGTGATGAAAATTGCGTGGATTTGGGTGATGTGTGCCAAGAGAAGGTGATATCTAGCACCTCAGAGAATGTGGTCCAAGGTTCAGAATCAGAAGAATTGTCGGTTCAGGTTGGTGGTGATTCGGATGATGTCATTGTTGATGAAGCAGATGAAGAAGAGGATGAGGAGGAGGTTGAGGTTGAGATTGAGATTGAGATGGAGAAGGAGAGAATTGATGTGAAGGAAATTAGTATTCCAGAATCTAAGTTTGAGGTTGTGAAGGGACCAGAAAATAATGAAGTTGTTGGGAATGAACATGAAAAGGTGGTTGTGAATGAGCCAGAGCCTAAGAAGATTCTGAAGGAACCAGAACCAGAACCTAAGAAGATTCTGAATGAACCAGAACCTAAGAGGGTTGTGAGTGCCCACATGCGATTTCATCACAAAAATGAAAGAAAGCCAGTTTCTGTCCCACTTGCTCTCAAGCAATCTCCTACAATCAGAAGGAATTCCACACTTCATCAAAATTTCTCCCGAGCTAATTCAAGTAAGGACTTTTGAGTTGTGTTTGTTCTTCCAATTTGTTTTATTGGATTTGTGCTTGTTATAACCGATTGTTATGGTCCAGTTCCAAAGACTGAAGAATACCGTAGTTTTCCACAAACCCAAAGCAAGTTGCAGAGTCTAGGTGATTAATCTACACTTGATAATTATGGGAGAGTGTGAAATTTGTTGGCAAAATTTTATTCAAATTGTAGAATTAATTCTTTATCTTTATAACTCTCCTCCTCAGTGGATTTAATCATGTGGAGAGATGTTTCGAGATCAGCATTTGTTTTTGGATTTGGAACATTCATCATTGTCTCATCTTCTTATGCAAAGGATATTAATCTGAGGTTAGAAACCCATCTTATAGAGTTTATTTTTCTACTATCACAAGAGAGCTCAGAACTGAACATTGCCTTTCTTTGCTTCTACAGTGTTATTTCAGTGATGTCCTATGTAAGTCTTGTATATCTAGCTGTTATCTTCCTATATAGATCCCTAATTTGCAGGTAATAACCCAAGTACCATATTACAATTACAATTTAAAGATTACTATCATTTCTGATTCTCTTTTGCAATCATACTAATCAGGGGAGTCATATACGTTGAGGACTCAAATTATGTATTGGGAGAAGAAGATGCAATTTGGATGCTAAAATTGATCCTCCCTTACTTGAATGAGTTCCTGTCAAAACTCAAAGCCCTGTTTTCTGGAGATCCGGGCACCACAATCAAGGTAATTTAATAATTTTCTTTACTCACTGGTTTTATGATTACCTTTTTAACAACATTAAAAGCATTAGTATCGTAGAATATTGAACCCCCCAAATTTTAATTTTTGTCTTTGTGCATCAATTGCAGTTGGCAGTTTTGCTCTTTGTTTTGGCTAGATGTGGCAGCTACATAACCATTTGGAAGATGGCCAAGTTTGGTACGTTTTCAATAATTTACATAGAAATTTAACTGCATTATAAGACGATTTACACTATCTTGAAAAGTGGTGGATGCCTAACTCTATTCCATTCTTAAATAGAACTCAGATTTGGGGTGTGAGAAAAGGCTAAATTTTTGGCATTTCAGTTGAGTTCCGTTGAAACAAACGCTGCACAAGAAATTTACATATGAATGCAAAGTTTCTTACTTTTTGCATCACTTGCTAGGGCAGTGAAAATAGCATCTTGCCTCCCAACCCCTCTATGTTTTAATTTCTTTAGTTATTCAGTTACAGAACGTGCCCTTTCACTTACTTGATTACTGACACATGGTTTTTCTGAACTGCCTCAGGCTTCTTTGGAGTTTTTACCGTACCAAAGATATGCTCTTCGTATTCTGCGCAGTTAACTGCATATGGTAATTTCCTGAAACTAATGTTGCTTGTTTTCTAACATTATTCAATGCCTGATTTATGACACTATACCTTTAAAGCTATAAACAAACACAGTACAGTTGCAGTGAGTAGAGGCTGCTTGGTGCTAAAGTGAGATAACAACGTTTGAATTGTCTCTCTACTCTTTAGTGTGGTGTAGACGGTGCGGTGCTTGACTAGGCCCACTACACCTTTCATGCATGCATTGATTAGAAGTTACAAACGGTTCTTGGTACCATTGAATTTATTTTATTCTATTATTGGGTGGTGTCTCCAATGCATCATAATGTAGATCTGGTGGGGCATAAATAAACAAAGATCAATAATAGTTAACTATAGTGCAATTATACCGCCCCTACTATGTAAACAAAGCTACAAACTCTAACAAATCTAAATCTGCTTTAAGATAATTTTGTCTCTTTGAAGATTTAGTTCTTCATGTGGTCATTGAAACATAATTTGAATACATCACATGGATGAGCATCTATGATTTAATTTTATTTTATTTATTCCTGACACTTGTGCGTCCATTGGGTCTCTTTTATGTCTGACACTTAGACTGATCTTTGGAACACATTGTGGGATATTAATACAATGGTCCTCTCAATATCGTTGGTGGTCCCTAATCCCAAGTACCAAACCTAAAATGAATTAGGGAATTTATTTTTTACTCTCATGTGTTACTGTGTCAAGAAGGCTAAAGCCCAAGCCTTTTCTTCACGGACCTCACTATTTATTATTCTAATAAATGACACTCTTTTTGTTAATGACACAGGTAATTTTTGGATTCGTCGATTCCGGGATGCATGGGATTCATGCACTCACAAGAAAGCCGTGGCTCTTGGCATCTTTGGGCTTGTGTGGAATTTATCGTCAGTTGTTGCTCGTATTTGGGCAGGTAAAACCATGTTGCAACTTCATATGATATTGGTCAATTTAGTAATATTCTAGACCTATGAAAGTTTATTAAATACATTTATTTTTTATAATTTCACATAAAATATACACCACATTTCTTAAAAATATCGTTAACCATATTCATAATATACAGTGTCCTCATTTATTACCATAGGGGGGTATTTAAATTGAGAACTCTTTGAAACTATCTTTGAACCATTCCTAATTTTTCCAAAAAGAAGTTGGGACGATTGCTAATAAAATTCTGATCTATTGTTCCTGTCGACGTAGCCCGATTTCAGGAAAGATGAACCGCGTTAATCCTGTGATTCTCTTCTGTTCTTTCTTTTCAAATGTGTTTTGTTTCTATTTTAGTCCGAAAAATTTAAGTATTTTTTGTTTATATATAGGTTTGAAAAGAGTACATATGTGTGGAGACATTTTTGCCCATTTTTTATAATATTTAATTATGTTTTTATCGCTTTAGTGTCATCAACTTTATCTTTTAATCTATATAGTTAAAAATGTTTTATTTTAGCCCATATATATACAATTTTTGTTCTCTCTTAATTCCTATCGTTTCTTTATGTAGAGATTACAAGATAAAGCTTATCTTATGAAATTATAGAGATTAAAAGAAAAGAAAATTAATACTTATAGGAATTAAAATAAACATTTTTAATTATAAAAATAAAAGATAAAACTGATGAAATTATAAGAACTAAAAGAGTAATTAAACCTTTTAAAAATAAGAAAATAATATACTTGTACAATAATTTGTACCATATTATATTTTGTACATCTATCCATGCTAGAGAGATAAAAAGAAAAAAAATCGATGTTATATAATTATATGCATATCATTGATTTATTTCTCTATATATAATACTTTTTTTTTAAATTCTGAGAAATTAATTTTTAGATAAACATTAATGTCAAAAAAAAATTGTTTGATATGCATTGTATAGTTGATTAATTGAGCCTTAGACTTGTACATACATGAGCACTAACATTAATGGATGGTGCTGAGTGTTATTTGTAGTGTTCGTCCTATTTGTGGCCTTCAGATATTATCAACAACATTATTTGGTGAGAGATGAATACGGGGAAGACGAAGCAGAATGTGATGAAACATGGCAAGAACCTGTTGCAGTCAGACAAAAACAAGGACCTGCCACCAACTTTAGTGATAGAAATAAAGTAAAGAAAGGGTTCTAAAAGGACGTGTTGATGGTGGCTAGTGGTACCACATTTAACAGGCTTGTCCAGGTGCTTGCACCATGCTATTTTCACTTTTAAAACTTTTTTTTTTTTTTTTTTTTTTTTTTTTTTTTTTTTTTTTTTTTTTTTTTTTTTTTTTTTTAATTTTAAAGTTTCACATAGAAGTTTCTTTACATATGTCTAGGCTGTAAATTTTTGTTCAGTTAATATAAATTTTAAAGGTTAATTTAGTATGCAAATCCATCAGGGTTCAATAGGGAAAAGGGAATAACAGCTAGGACGTTTATGTTCTGTAACTAGCATTCAGTTATAATAATTTATTTTCGTTAAGGCGAAATTTCTCAAATTGGTTCTGTAGAGGATGTGTTTGTTATATTTATCAATTATCACAATTCACAAGGAGAAAGCTGGGTTGGAGTAATGGAGCAGTGGGGTTTAAGGTAGTGTATTATTCTTTTTCTGTTTTACGGTAACTGCACTCTTAGCAAGCATTTGAAAAATATCTTAATTATTAATTATTTTTTAATTTATTTATTTTTATAAATTGTTCGACCATTACAATTAAAAGTAACATATTTACTAAGAGGATTAATTATTTTAGTAAAATTGAGTTAAAAAAAATGTACATTTATTAATATAATTAATTTATGTCATTATACATAAAAATCTTAAATTTAGTCATTGTGGGAACTCGCAAAATTTCGATCTTGTTTATAAATGATTTGGACTTTGTTTTGAGAATCTCGTCGGTTTAGGAATGTTAAAGGACTAGACTAATTCTTCATCAATGATTTTTAAAAGAGTTTGAAGAAGTAGCCACTAATATTTTACTCAAAATATCGTAAAAAGAAAATGTTTTTTCAAAAATTAATAACGGTCTTCATAGCAAGAATTAAGTTCGAGGGTCAATTACACGTGAGGAAGGTATTAAGCACCTCACAACGTTCTAACTCGGTACCTTATGATGAATTTTGCATAATAATAAGTAGAATTAATATTTACTCATTTTATTATGCACACAATGATTTATATTACATGTTATTTACATGCTAAAAATGCATATTATCTATATGATTATTTATTTATCTATTGTATATAAAAAAATGATAAATAAAGTAATAAGTAAAATAATAAATAAGAGAGGAGAATTTGGAACCTCCGAAGCAAGTTTTTTATAAGGGAATTTTCCTAAATGTGTATGGGACATGTTTTGGCAACCTTTTGTTCTACAAAAGTCTCACTATCACTTAGAAATTTACATAAAGTGAGGGGGAGCTATGCAGCTTGAGGTGTCTATTCCCTTGGCCAATGGCTACTTCCTCATCTTCAAGTGATGAAGAAGAAATTTTAGAATTTGAGGAAGAAACTTACCCGTGTGAAGGAGACCTATTAATGGTAAGAAGGCTCCTTGGGAACCAATCTAGTGACTTAGATCAATTCCAAAGAGAGAACTTGTTTCACACAAGATGCAAGATTTTAGATAACACTTGTTCTCTCATTGTGGATAGTGGATTTAGTTGTAATTGTTGTAGTACTAGATTAGTTAACAAGCTAGCCTTGACTACTCTACCTCATCCTAAACCTTACAAGTTACAATGGATCAATGAGGAAGGCGATATTGTAGTCAACCAACAAGTAAATATACCTATATCCATTGGTAAGTATAAAGGTGAAGTTTTGTGTGACATAATGTCATTGGATGCTAGTCATATTTTACTTGGGAGTCCTTGGCAATTTGACAAGAAAACCATTCATGAAGGCCTCACTAATAAGATAAGTTTCCATCACCTAGGCAAGAAAATTGTTTTGTGTCCTCTATCACCCTCACAAGTGAGTGAGGACCAAATAAAAATGAAAGCCAAGAGAGAAGAAGAAGAGAAAACAAAAAAAAGACAAAAACAAAAACAAAAGAAAAACATTCCCTTGAATGAAGAAAGGGAGGAGAAGGTATCAAGCTTAGAGGCTAGTGTCCCCTCTAAGGAAGTTGTGCACAAAAGTCATTTGTCACTTAAGAATGATATCAAGAAAACTCTTTTGTGTGAGAAACCTTTATACCTACTCTACTTTAAAGAGACACTAGCTGCCACTAGGCATGAACTTGAGTTTCTACCTCATGAAGTTCAAAAACTTTTAAAGGAATTTGATGATTTGTTTCCTCAAGAAGTTCCAAGTGGGCTTCCACCTTTAAGAGGAATAGAACATCAAATAGACCTCATACCAGGTGCTAGTCTTCCTAATAGGCCCGCCTATAGGACTAACCCTCAAGAAACCAAAGAGATAGAATCTCAAGTTGATGACTTGTTGATGAAGGGTTGGGTTCAAAAGAGCCTTAGTCCTTGTGTCGTCCCCGTTCTCTTAGTGCCCAAGAAAGATGGCAAATGGAGGATGTGCACTGATTGTAGGGCCATCAATAATAAAATATAGGCACCCAATCCCTAGGTTAGATGATATGTTAGATGAGTTGCATGGAGCCATCATATTTTCTAAGATTGACCTTAAAGGTTGATAGACTATGGCTAAGGCCAAGGAATCCAAGAGGTGATATCTTAAAAGAACCAAGAAGAATGGGATGATCTTAAAGACCTTTTCATATGTTTGTACATATAGTAGTTTCTTTGTATAGGCTTATTTTTTCCTTTGTATTTGTGAGGCACTTTATTGCATTTTATTAGTCATTGTATAATGTTTCTAGGTTAGGTTACTTAGGAACTTAGACTCCATTTAACCTAACCTTGAAGTACACTCATTTTCTATTTTTTCAGTAGTAGAAGTAGGGTGGCATTTAACAATGCTTGAGGGTGTGACTAGTAATTGGGCCAGACTTGGGCCTAGGAAAAATTTTACATATTGAACTCATTTTACTCCTAATTTTTCATAGGTTTGATCTAGCTAAGTTTCATCATTTTTTGATGGACCTAACTAGACCAAACCATACATTTTAGAAAATAAATCATGGAGCAAAATGGAGCCAAAATCCGCCTAGCCTATGTACTTCTCCTTCTTGGCCGAAAACTCATTTTACTCCTAATTTTTCATAGGTTTGATCTAGCTAGGTTTCATCATTTTTTAATGGACCTAACTAGACCAAACCATACATTTTAGAAAATAAATCATGGAGCAAAATGGAGCCAAAATCCGCCTAGCCTATGTACTTCTCCTTCTTGGCCGAAATTGTTAGTCACTTAGGGTTGAGAAGCTTGTGCCACAAGCTTCTCCTTAGCTTGCTTCCCAAGCAAGCTAAGTGAGAAGCTTGCTCCACAAGTTTCTAGACCACCTTGGACGGTCAAGCAACCCTACCATGATTCCTAGTGAACCATGGTTAAGGTTAGCTCGCTCCTTAAGCTACCTACCTCTATATATTTGTAATTTCTATTCTTGTAATCACTTTTGAACAATTTGAGAAATAGAATTTAGAATTCTCTCTCAACTCAAGAGTCTTGGATCCGTGGAGAGCAAACTTTCTTAGTTCTCTCTCAAAATTCTTCTCTTAGAAGCTTGGTTCCTCAAGCTTCTTCACTTTATCAAGAGGTAACCAAACCTCTCTTAGGTGCTTCTCCACCATTGGAGAATCCTCCAAGGTGCTTCCGCCACTTCAAGGAGTTCAACCTTAAGAACATTTCGGTCCTTGCATGGGATGGCTTGGAAGAACAACAATACTCTCCAAGTAGTTCCATCATTTTTGATATCTAGAGCCTAGTGCTCTTGAGGTTATGTGTTCCTAATTTTTTTCTTCATTAAATCCGTGTTGTTCCTTCCTTATCTTTGTCTAAATTTGTGTTTAGAATCAAAGAGGGTGATGAATGGAAAACCACTTTTAAGACCAAATTTGGTTTGTATGAATGGTTAGTGATGCCTTTTGGCCTCACTAATGCCCCTAGCACCTTCATGCGTCTAATGAATCATATTCTTAGGGATTGCATGGGAAAGTTTGTAGTCGTCTACTTTGATGACATTTTGGTGTATAGAAAAACCTTAGATGCACATCTTGGACATCTAAGGCAAGTCTTAATAATTCTTAGGGAAAACCACCTCTATTCCAACTTTGAGAAGTGCACATTTTGTAAAGCCCAAGTCAACTTTTTGGGTTTCATAGTTGGCAAAGAGGGGGTTCATGTTGACCTCGAGAAAATAAAGGCCATCCAAGATTGGCCCACCCTAAAAAGTGTTGGAGATATTAAAAGCTTTCAAGGTGTAGCGAGCTTCGATAGAAGATTTGTAAAAGACTTCTCCACACTTGCATCCCCTCTTAACGAGCTTGTTAAGAAGGATGTACCTTTCCTTTGGGGTGAAGCCCAAGAAAAAGCCTTTAAAATCCTAAAAGAGAAACTTATCAATGCACCCATCCTAGCTCTTCCAAATTTTGACCAAACCTTTGAGCTAGAATGTGAGCATCCGGTCTTGGCATAGGTGTCATGTTACTTCAAGGAGGCTACCTCATTGCCTACTTTAGTGAAAAACTCCATGGGGCCACCTTGAATTATCCCACCTATGACAAGGAACTTTATTCCCTCATAAGAGCTCTCCAAGTTTGGGAGCACTACTTAGTGACTAAAGAATTTGTTATACACACCGACCATGAGTCACTCAAGTATCTTAGAGAGCAAGGAAAATTAAATAAAAGGCATGCAAAATGGGTGGAATATCTTGAAAAATTCCCCTACATCATTTCCCTTAAATGTGTAGGGTGAAGTGAATAGAATTTTCTTACCAAGACAATTTCAACATGGAAAAGGAGTATCATGTCTGAAGGCATTGCTTGTTAAAAACTTGCTAGGACGAAAACCCGCAAAGGGCATCCTAGGCAAAAATTAGGGTTCAAAAAAAAAATCAAAAGTCCCGATAGGATACATCCTATGCAAAAGTTAGGGATGAAAAAATGGGCAATGTTTTCTCGAGTTGAAAACTAAAAGGCAGCTCGGGTATCCTTTCCAAAAAGCAAGACCCCATGAAAATTCTACATCAAAGCTCTATTATCACTCCCGTCTACATTCGCCTCCTAATAAAGTCTATAGATGCATTAAACGCAAGCTGTACCCTCCACGTTCCACCAAAAAATCAAGTTCATGACAGATGGCAAGTCGATAGTAGATTCCAACTGAGGAAGAACTACTTATCAACAAAACGATAGTGAATACCAATTGAGGAAGAACCACTTATCAACAAACCGTTCGTCATCTCTCACATGAATACAACAGAGGAAAACCTATGATTGCTCACGTGAATAGGAACTCGAGTAATGGAAGCTTAGTAGCATGATCACTGAACACATCAAACTTTGCTCCATAGAGATAATGTCTCCAAATCTTCAAAGCAAAAACCACCGCAGCCAACTCTAGATCATGCGTAGGATAATTCCG